CCTTTCTTTCTTCCACATCTTACTTGCCCTCCTTCACCCTTTCTTCCACATCTTACTTGCCCTCCTTCACCCTTTCTTCCACATCTTACTTGCCCTCCTTCACCCTTTCTTCCACATCTTACCTGCCCTCCTCTCCATCCACTTCTCTTCTTGCTTCTCCCGAGACCAAATAGTTTTTAATACGTGTAAGGAATGGAGTGGCTATTGATCTTAATTAAAATGAGTTCATGATAAGCTGTCGCCTGAAGAGGCAGAGCGGGCGTTGCCTTGTGCTAGCATGTGTGTAAGCATGTAGCTGGATGAAATCGAATCTTCTAATCTTCATGAACATGAATTTGATTAAGAACGATAGGCTTTTTCCAAACACTGTTATTTCATGGAATGTACTCTTGGTTATCTTGTTCAATATACTACTTTTAAAGATGAAGGAACTTTGGAATTGTAATTTCCCCCTATGAACTGACGATGTAGCTCTATATTATCATGGTTTAATCATGGCTTTACACCATCACCAGCTCTTACTAGTTCGCATAGCTTCTAGAATGCACGTACCACGAATAAATACAATAGACCCTGTCTATAGCTCAGGAAGCTACTTTATTTTTGCAGGCTACATGATCTTTTTCCAACATAACACCATACATCATGATAGAACCATAACAAACAATTTGCATACACCAACAACATTGTTAGGAGCAAGTTAAAGTGTAGGACTGAGTGTGCAATTTCTTTTCATGAAACTCTGAAACCATGTCTATCAGTTAACGTGTGAATGTATTTTTACTATAGTACGTCTGACTAGCTACATACACCAATGAGTTCAAACAAGGTTTGCTCCATTGCCCCTACAATCACACTTCTTTTAACATATGTAGACTACTTCACATTCGCTATGAAAGTTATAGGAAATGACTAGTTTTTTCAAATATTTGAAAACAAAATAGAATGACGCCAAAAGTACGGCAAAATTCAGCCAATTCTTTTTCACCGGTGCAACCTATAAAAGATTATGAGACAGAAACTTGAAGACACTCCTTAGTAAGAAGGTTCCTCCTAGTGTAACGCTGACATTATTGCTCCAAGTGAATCAGTTAGGCATCAGACAGTGCAGCAACACCTGGCAGTGTCTTACCTGTAACAAAGCAATTTAATTATTGACTTCCCACGTTCCCCAAGCGCGACAACATAATCATGAGTTTTCCTGTTGATGTTTCGCTCTGCTAGGTAAGACAATTTACTTGATTATTACTCGACACTGCTTTATTAATAATTAAACGATATGGCGAGTGTGGTTAAGCTAGATCATTTCATCAGTGAAACGTGTTACCTTCTAGTAGTTCCAGGCTAGCACCACCTCCTGTGCTCACATGACTGACCTTGTCCTCAGTGCCCCACTTCGCACAGCAGGTGGCAGTATCACCTCCACCTTAACGACAAAAGCGATTCAGTACACCACCACAGACTCCCTTCGTGGAGACACTACTAGCAGCGAGTACAATGTGAGCTTGCAGGACCAAGGCACTATGTTGCTTAGGGTATTCGGTGATGGCAAGTTGGGTTTGTGGTGCACGGGAAATATGAAACAGGCATGGGGAGTTGGGGTGAAGCATGTAGTATATAGCTATCACATGTAGGACATGCCACAAAACGTTCATAGTGGATAGAGTCTCACATTGTAACATGTGACTGTGATTCTAGTGATCCACCTTAGTGCACATGTAGACCGGTCAATAGTTGATGTCGAACAAAAATTCCATCACTGCAGTTGAACGAAGAATAGTCTGTACTCACCAATGATGCTTATGGTACCACCCTGGGTTGCCTTGACGACCTGGTCCATGACTGCCTTGGTTCCAGTGGCAAACTTCTCCCATTCAAACACACCGACGGGACTTTGGGGGTAAAAAAGCGGGAGAAAACATTAACAAATGTCTATAAATGGGTTACAAATATCTCTGTAAATGATTTTCAATGACTTTTTATGGTATTTAAGGCACCATGTGACACTAACCACGTCTTTGCTGATATGCTAAAATCAACAATCATTGGAACTCACACAAACATGAAAAAATCCAATGCCGTGTAACACACCAACCTTCTTGCTAAACTCTTGGTTGGGAATGCAGTATTACTTCCAATCATTCATCATGAAACACTTCATTCTTTTTAGATGGAAAATTTTGTGCTTTGATACTTTGTTAAAGATTTTGAGGACATTTTTATCCAGCTTTCTCTCATTTTTACTAATCTTCCAAATGGGCTAAAGCAACATACCCATTCCAGACAATGATCTTTGCCCTGGCAACTGCGTCATTGAAAATCTTTGTTGTTTCTGGTCCAACATCAAGTCCCTAGAAGAAAATTATATAACAGTCATAACAAGCTCTAGCCATAGCAGGCCATAACAAGTTTCTGATATTTACACACCTACCTTTAACAGTTGTTTATAGCATATTTGGATCAAATTCTCTTTGATTATAATGGAATACAACACATATTGCTATAAGGTATTTGTGATTATATATACTACTACATTGAGAAGCGAGTATCAACAATACCTAAAGTACTAAGATAATGTTAGATAATTATTTCTTTACATCCAGTTTCTCAATCTGTAAAAGGATTGAAGGACATTCCATCCTAGAATACTAGCAATGACAGCAACATGAACGTACTCCACTTGCCATACTCAGATTTCTCCATTTTTGTGATTCTGTCCGAGGCATTCTATGCCATTGCTAGTACTGTCTCAGTGTGAATTTTTCACCAGACTATATCTCACCATGAAGCCATCAGGGATGCCAGCAGCCTTGGTCACGTTGCTAGCATTGGCATTCTCATCAAACTTGTCGGCAACGACAAAGTCAACAGGCAGGTGGATCTTCACTCCATTCTTCTCAGCCTTCTTCATGAGATCTCCAATGATTTTAGAACCATCTTCATCAAACAGCGAGTTGCCGATCTGCAATAAAAAAATATAACAATTTATAGTTCAATGTAATCCTAACTCACATGACTGCACAGGCTACAATACAAGTGCTGCCATCTACAGTCATTTTCCAGTGCTGTTGTCAGTCATATCTGCATGTACCCTACGTCTATTCTACGTAATGAGGAATTAACCAGAAAGCAATAGTAGACATAAGGAATGCTGTTTGTCTTCTGAGCAGCAAAGGAATGAACAGAATCTTCGCTTTAGAGAGTTGCCTTTCATAGTTCATAGTATTAAGATGCCCAGCAGGTTAACATTATAGAGCCTGATGGGTAAACCGACCTTGCAATAGTTTCAGGAGTCTATCAATATTGAGTATTGATCGACTCCTGATAGTTTCAATCACCAAATATCGCCACACCTCCTACACCTGTGTAGCCTAGTGAACATATGTGATACACAGCCAGCTCATACCTTCTTTACTACAACACCCATAAATAACCAGAGTGCACTCAAAACTAAAAACTGCACCTATTCATGACCACACGTCCTCTACATAAAATCAGCACCCTTTCAGTTTCATGGATCGGCTGTATGAAATGATAGAGGGAGTAAATGGTAACCTCCTACCATAGTCGCAACACTGTTCACTGCTACTGCAGCGTGAGAAACAAGCGGTCGCCCAGTCGCCAGTGGCGATTAGAAAATCGACCGGGCGACTGCTTGCTTGTGTCAGCTGGTCCGGCGGGGCGACTGCATAATCGCCGCACAGGAAATAAAAAATTTACCAAACTGAGGCCATAATAAAAATGTTGTTTGTTTGCCCTCTTCCTTTGAACCTTAATGGGAAAAGAGTGTTGTGAGGTGACGAATTATCTTTGTATCAATGATATTACATTTCTTCCATCAGCTTATTTCTCGACATGGCAGTCGTACTTCTTTTAACCTTGACTTTTATGCGCTTGTAGTTTTGGACTTTGCTACTTTCACTTTGTAGCTGCATATGCCCGATCTATGTCCCAGGGTACTGCCGGAACGTACCCTGTCGTAACTATCTGATAGGTTAAGGCCCGTCTCCACACACGCGGCACGGACACGACACAGCAAAACGCAGCGCCGTTGTTGCTGAAAAAAGAAAAATACATTGTGATTTCGCCGCATTGTGTCTGAGCCGCATTGTGATTGTGTTCACTCTGGTTCAGTTGATCAGAAATATGCATGTGCTTGTTGTCCATATGGCTTGATGGTAGCGTGCAGCAGAACACGTGATAAAAAACCCTATCGCCGTTGATTGGTTCAATTGTCTGTTTTCGCCGTCACGCTTTCAGTCGGGCAAAGTTAAACTCATTTTGGGACTTTCGCCGTCGCCGTGAAACCGGCTCGGGCCGTGACCGTTCAATGGAGACTTGCGCCATTAACGATATTAATAGATTTGAACTTTGCGGTAGGGGTGCAACGACGCCGTTTCCGTGGCGTTTCGCTGCCGCGCCGCGTGTGTGGAGAAGGGCGCTTTAGGGTTAGGGAGTCAGGGCGTAAGCGGGACTCCTAAGACTCAGTTAGCTGGAGTATTAGTGTGTTAGTTAGCTGGTACTTTCAGATAGTTGGTTAGGTAGAGCGAGCGCTACGGTTCCGCGCCATATTAGATAGTACCAGCGGTTACGCTTCGCCCAGCTTACCCTGGGTGACATAGACCCTCTCAGCCGGCCAATGCTCGGCCTTAGATTCACATTCTTTGATATTGGAATTTCAGATTAATAAATCGCAGGTTTTTAAAACGATTACGGGATTAGTACCATCATTTACTGTATTAATCATATTGTTTATGCTATAATAGTACACGAGATTGCCACAGTATTAATCAGCTTCGTGTTTACTAGCGTGAAACAACTTGGCGTTCATCGGCATATGGCATTGGCAGGATTATGCATGCCATTTGCTAATC